TCGAATGATTCAAGAGCTATTGAAAAAGCTCTAAGGGCAGTTTTGACTTCTCATTTAAAAATTGCAGGATGAAGTTCGATGAATCATTTCAATCTAAATGTGTATTCTATGAGAAGCGATGCGTTCTTACACGCGGGGTAGGTAATAATGCCCTTGCACGCGACAGACGCTCTAGGTGGTGTGATCACGATTGGCGGAATTTTCGCACGCCCGATGCTTCGCGAAGGCTTCAACCAGCCCGCCCCGTTGCTGCGCAGAAAGAGCTTCAGCTCTTCGTACAGCTCGAAGAGCTTCCTCGCGTTTCGATATTTTATGTTCCCGGCGTAATAGGAGTGCCTCGTAAGAGGCAGGATGTAAACTTGCAAGTAGCCTCCCATAGTGTCTGCCAGGGCTTTCAGCATCAGGTGCTTCGTTTTTCCTATCGACAGCTTGCGAACGCTCTCCAAACAAATGTGAAAGTAATCCATCAGCAGAGCTATGTACCGGTCGTTCTCGTAACTTAGAACCTTTACCTGCGAGAGCGTCGAGAGGAGTTTCATTGGAACGTGCAAAATATTGTAGACACGTAATAAAATTCGAGGGGTACTTCGTAATTTTTTAATTGAATTGATAATCATTTATGGAATGAAAATATTCTAAGGGTGACCGTGTTTATTTCACAGGTTTCGTATTTAGTTCAGTTCGTTCTCCAAACAGTCGTATGTGTATGTATTAAATAGTAATTTGATTTTTAAATAACCCGCTAAAAAGAGATAAGTGGCGCCATCGGCGGCAAAACGCCCAAGTTCGTCGTGAAATAGTTCCTATTCTCAGACGCTAGATGTCTCTAATAACTCTGCACCGACACTGCGCGATATAATCCATTTTTGTTGCAGCTACGCACACAATTTACACCGTATCTATTCAATTCATTCTCAATTTGCAGTTGTATATGCATTTATCAAATAGTAGCTAAGTTTTTTAATAAACAGCTAAAAGAAAACAAGTGGCGCCATCGGCGATAAAACGTCCAAGTTTGTCGAGGAATAGTTTCTATTCTCAGACGCTAGATGTCTCTAGTAGCTTATGCATCGACAGTGTTTTGTTTATAATTAAATACACACTGTTCCATATGCCATTATTATTAAAATATTATTTTGTATTATTTTGAAGTGACAGTATATTTGAAAATCAGACTCGCAAGGTTAAATTTAACTTACCTTCGGTAGTAAATCTTGAAACATACGTCTACTGTTCAACATAATAAATTCCTCGGTAGTCCAGCAATGTTTAACAGAATCACTTTTCTCGAATAACACCGTGCCGATATTTTGCTCATGCTTGAAACTGTTGACGCTCATCACCCTGATAGCACAATTCAATAGCACTGATCTGTATTTCTTAATAAACTTAATCGATCAAATACTTAATTAATCATTAATTGATAATAGAGTTATCGAGATTGGGTAATCTATTTTTAATGATTTAAATAAGTATGACGCTGATAATGTCTCCGATCGAGTATTACCTTTCGATGTTAACCAAGATAGTGTCTGCAAACAACAGAAGAAACCATGGGAGGCATGATCTCATACTCCAATTAATAAATACCGGATGTATGCGTTTTTTCCTTGCTAAATTCCAAGATATTTACACCGATTCGTCGAGCATTTTCCATTCATTGTCTCATCACGAATATATCGCGTTTGTTACGCGACTGATTTCAGATTATTAAACTTTTGTAAACGATTACGCTATAGTCGCACAAACTTTCGACGGTGCGAATCAAAATATTTTATATGTATTTCACAAGGAAACGTCAATTTGGGGTTTTTTCCTTTTAATAATATGACACCGTGGCAAGTACAACTTCACCACCAGAACAGCCAAACATTTTATACAAAACGCTTTATCATTTCTAGAACTCTTCGTGAATGAAACAATCATCTCTGTCTGTAGCGACTACAAACGAAAAGGAGTTAAATGATTTCTTACAATAATATGTATTTTACATAATGTATGTACTACTCGAACGTAAAGAGGGCGCGACACGATAAGGATCATGGTCGATAAAACCTATGTCATTACGCGAACAGTCCTCGCCGTCGTTAAAATTGTCTTCGCAGCTTCGCTTCCTGACGCGAGGGGCTGCCTTGGAATGAGAAAATTACATATTCGGAGCTTGCATTTTACACAAGAACCGCAGGTGCAACATTTTCACCTCGTCCTTGTTCAGTTTCACCACGCCTTCTTGATTATCTATGGAGAGCAATGTACCGACGGCTTCCCTATCCTCGCCGATGATTACTTTTACTCTATCGCCTCGCGACGGAACCACTGGCTCCAGTTCCTCGCAGACCAAGTTAACGACTCTGTCTTCGACCGGTAGGAAGACTGCACACATGCCGCCCTGTAGACAAAATACAAACACCATGTTCACGCACCGCTGCAAGAAACACTCGCAGCAACAACAACACTTACGGATATTCCTCGAATGACACCCTGTTGTCCAGCAAGCGCAGGATCCTGGTGAGAGTCGCGAATTCGAACCTCGATGTCCGTGGTGTGCCATTCGGTTCCTCCTACTATCGCAGAGCCCACGCTGGTGTCTAAACCAGCACCTGGTGTTTGCGGATTGTATGGACTACCCGCAACACCTTTAACAAACAATGTCACAGTTGATCCCAAGGTTACTACCTATAGGGAGCACCTAGGAAAGAGACTGAACGCGAAGGAGTAGCTTACCAGGTGTCATAGGACTATAACCCATCGGCGAAGGAGTAGCGAACGCTCCATGGGGACTGGTAGTGTACCCAGTGCCGCTTGGCGAGGGAGTGGCGACGTATCCTGCAGGACTGGGGCTGGCAGACGCGCTTCCCGCTGGACTAGGACTCGGTTGGTACGAGCTGAAACTCTGCTCCGAACCGTACATCGTGCCAGGAGTTTGCGGCGTGAATGGGCCACCAGTGGGAGGATAGCCAGGTGCGTAACCAGGAGAACCACCTTCTTCCATGTTGTAGCCGTCGAAGTCGTTCGTTCTCGCGGGAGTGTTCGTAACCGCTGGGTCCCAGGCACCCGACTGTCCTGGAGTGCGCGATCCATCGTGAGACGGGGTCATCGAGCCATAATGAGGTGTACGGGAACCATCTACGAATTCAAGAGAAGTTAGTATATCCAGAAGTTAGTATATTGGTTCTTTCAAACGTCTGCAGTCGGAAGGATGTACTCACTTTCGTACATGGGTGTCTGGGAGCCATGCATGGGCGTCTTCGACCCATCCCTGGCGTACATCGGCGTCTGTCCACCCATGCCGTACGCTGGTGTCCTGTTGTAACTACTGAAACCTCCATCCTTCGTTGGCACGCCAACATTGGCGATGTGGGACCTGTCCACGGAAATAGTTTGGCAGGTGGAATGCAGTTCCACGCGAGCAGTAGTCTCCGTAGCGTCCTTCACGATACCGACGTTTCCTTTATACGGCCCACCGGTTATCTTTATGGTGGTGCCAATCAGTTCTCTGTCGCGGCGAGCTCCTCCGCCGCGGCCTCTGCCTCTTCCACCACCTCCGCCACCTCTCCCAAAACCGCCACTGTAATAAAATGCAATACAGCGAGAACCGATATGATATATTTTAGCGAAAAGCAATAATACCAACCCGCTAGGATGCATCGGTGACGCGATCCTAGGTGACATGAATCCTGACACTGGCGACATGGCGGTTATGTTAGACTTGTTCCCGCCCGAGAGCTGTAAGTGTCTCGTTTTGCAAACGAATATGCCACCGTTGTCCACGAACATCCGCGAGTGGAGAAACGCGAAACTCCTGTAGAGATGCTTGATTTCGCCGCCTCTTCCAGCGTGTGGCCCGTCTACGACTTCAACGATGTCCTTCTTTTGTATCGTGTTCTGCTGAGAATCCAACGCCACCGCGTTTCTGTTCTCGCGTCGTTTCGTCAGACCTTGAGGTCTGGCCTCTATCACCTTGGCGTGCATGGAAAGCACGTGGAAATTTTCGCGCTCGAGCCGAACGATTACGCCCACGGTTTGTGCGTCCAACTGAACTAGATCTCCCCATTGGAATTGACCTAAACTGTCTACGCCCGTCGCCATGTCCGAACATAGCTGCAAGTCCCTCGGGAGGACTTCGAGCTCGTGCATCGATAGATCAGAGAACAGGACCACTCTGTTTTGTTCTACTCGGACTATCAGACCGGTATCACCTTCGTATCTTCCTGCGACAACCTGTGAACAATCGGTAGTTTGTTATTTCGATGAACTCGTTGTTTAACAATTCTTTCTTCTTATGGTTACCTTAACGTGATCACCCATGGTGAAGTATTTCCGTAACTCCGACGCTTGGAATTCCAGTGCTTCCTTCAACTCTTCGTGTTTCGGCATGACCATTATCATGTTTCCATCTATCGAAACGATTTTTCCTTGTAGGTTTATCAATTCACCCTCGCACACTTCGACGTTGTCTCCGGTGCTAAAGGAATGAGTAATCGCCGAGTCCTCTTTGTTGCCAGCGCCAGCTCCCGGAGTCCCGCTTAAATCTATCTCAACACCTTCTGGAGCCTCTTCGAACCTCTCCAGCTCGGAAAGCGTCGGTTTCACACCTTCCGCGATGATCGCGCTCGTCGTGAAATTTTTATACAAGAATCTGGATGGAAACGAATACTCTTATTCAAGTGACGCTTTTTCTAATAATATATATACGTATATAACGTTAACTTACCCTTTCCTACTGTATCTGTTTCCCTCGAAGATCAAGAAATCACCGTCGCTCGTAACTTCTCCACCAATGGCGCGAATTGCTTCGGGGTCGAATGGCTTCGCCGGTGGTTTTCTCTTCTTCTTACGTTTCAGAGCTTCGGATTCGCTTTGCGCTGTTCTCAACGCTCCGCGAGGTCTGGTGTAATCGATTCTGGGCAACAGTTTCAAATGAACCTGATTCTGCGCCAGATCAACGTAGTCAACCTGGGCTATGTCGTCTTTATAAATGCCCCTTTTCAGTCTAACCCACTGCTTCGCCTTCAAGCCTGTCTGTTCTTTGACTACGCGTAACACGTCGGTCATTTCCTTGATCGGTACCATCTGCTGTTTCCAAATACCCATTCGCAGGTTTCCTACGTTCTCGATAGCAGCCTTTACGTGCGGCTGTTTGTACGCTTCGATGTAAATGTAACCTTTTACACCTTCTGGGGCGACGACAGACTTTATCTGAAGAGGTTCGTCTGATAAATAAAATCGTACGATTAAAAACAATCACGACTATTCGACCGAAAGTATAATAACGAAGTCGCTGCATACTCGAAAATTGATAAGTTAAGAATTTCCGCATTAGCAAGAGGACGGTGGCTTTTTCTTCTCCGATACGACATTTCACCAGCCACAGATTTGGATCTTTTACACCTGGCAGCAAAGTTTGCTGAGTGATTTCATCGCTCATTTCCTCGCCGCCATCTCCGAAATGACGAGCAGCCACAGATTCGTCTGCATACTTTTTTCTCAAGTACTCTTCTATTTCATCTTCCTTTTGAGAACTAGAAATGATAAAAATTAGTATAGAAACAAGCAATTTGAATGTGTTTTAAGATCCATACTCCCAAAGATTGGTGCCTCTGCGTCGTCCTTCAATTTCTCTTGCAGTGGGTCCAAGCTCATCTACTTCATTACCCACAATACCAATTTCCTGAGCACCGTCTTCCCATTCATCGTCATCCTCGACCTCATCGTCCACTTCAGCTTCGTCTATGATGAAACCACCATACTTGTCTTTCTTCTTTTTCTTCCGAGGCCTGTCATCGTCCTCCTCCTCTTCCTCCTCGTCGTATTCACTGCTTCCATCCAAGTCTTCCCCTGAATAGAGATAAACATCAAGTAACAATATCAAGTAAGAAGTTTATGCATTAGACAATGCTTCCGTCCATGCTTCACCTTCTGGTTCTTCTTCCGGCTCCACCATCTCGTCCTCGTCCCCTGACCTGGCTTCCTCTGCTTCGTCTCCTCTGCCATCCTCCGAGCTAAAGATTTAATAAATTCTAGTAACCCCTAACGAATATAATTCTTTATAAGTGATACGTTTAACAATTTCTACATATATACACAGACGCAAATACATCACCAATTGCAAAACAAAGGTTCGATAATTTATATAGCGCACGAAATTAATGTTACTCACCCAGACGCTGATCGAGACCGCGATCGTGACCTCGAGGGACTCCTCGACCGTGATCTAGACGGGCTCCTGCTCCGAGAAACACTGCGCGATCTTTCCCCGACGCTGCCAGCTGCAGATTTCACGGAGCGATTTTCTTCCTGATCGCTTTCGCTACCTCCGCCGCCACGGTCGCTTTCGTTATCGGATAGAACGCTGGCTTCGGAATCCGACATTTCACGCAAAAATTCAACGAATAACGTCAAATATGTTTCGGTGTGTATCACCAAGCAGGAATCTCGACAACTTGGTTAGGTCAACGATGAGCACCAAACACAGACTAAGGAAGAAAAACGATGCACCGCTCGATGGCGCCACTCGGTTTGTCCAGGTCTGTTCGTAATTAAAACATTTCAATAATTATAGAATTATAATTCTAATGGAATTAATATTAGGTAGACTGCAAAGTAATGTCGTTTCTTTTACATTAAATTCAAACAAATTTTTGATAAATTTCTATTTTTAGGCAGTTATGTAATCGTCCGCGTTATCAACAGCCAAATAGTGTGCAAATTTTCAATGACCGATAAAAATCAACGAGGTGTTGAGTGATAAACAACGATTTAAAATTACAAAAACGACATTACTTTCCAGTCTACCTAATAAATTATATAGGAAGTATGTATCAGGTAATATAATAAATAAAACGAATTTGCTGTCATCTGTAGCTATTATCCTGCTGCAACCCTTTAGTTAGTGATGGCATCTAGTAGCAATACTGAGAATTATTTTCGCTACAAGCTTGAGCGTTTTACCACCGATGGCGCTACTATAAAATCTACTCGCCATCTAGCGACAACTGTAGGAACTATTTTTTAGTACGAACTTGAGCGTTTTACCACCGATGGCGCCACTATAAAAACTACTCGCCATCTAGCGACAACAGTAGGAACTATTTTTTAGTACGAACTTGAATATTTTACCACCAGTGGCGTCACGTGATATAGCGGGAGATAAATTTAAATTCATTTAAATTTAAACATTTTTTTTCATCAGTTTTATCCATCCCATCCTGATTCTTCATTTGATTTCTTTTTAATAAAAATGTTACAAGAAATTATTACTTGTCAACCACCATTAGACTGTATTCTTCGTTTCCCAGATTTTAGATTAACGTTAACATCGAATACATAAGTTGTATCAGTATTATTGTAGATTAGGACATTCCATACGAAACAGATAATTCAATCGTTGTTTCTAATAGAAGCAACACCGTAATAATTGTCTTCGTTATCTAGGCAACGGATAAACAGTAATATTATCGATTCGAGCTGGAATTGTCGGAACAGTCGCGCCCAACTTCCAGAAACGACTTTGTCGCGTATAATTGTTTCACGTTATGTCTGATCTGGCGAAGAATTTGTTAACGCAATATTATGGGCTCAATTCGGAATCACCCAGCAAGAGGTTTTTGTCGATTCATAAATCAATCGAAGACGCGAAAAATGAAGAGGAGAAGCAGGTTACCGATCAAATTTCTTTAACCACGAACAAGGAAAACGTCTCTGAAAATGAATCGCAGGTGATGAACCGATTATTTACAGCTTTTATATGATTCTTAATTAGTCGTTACAGGAATAATTTATTGTTATTTACAGAACGACGAGGATGGTCGAAAACTTAGCGTAGCGAGTGAATCGTATCGGAGGTCGTCGCGAATTTTCGACGACATTAATGACGCCTACGATTCCAATGAAAATTCAGACTCGATTGAAATTGATCTCGGACAAAATATTTTATGCGACGTTTGTGAAAATGAACCTTCCACGATACACGAAGAATTAAGCATTCTTACAGCCACCGAAATAAAAGGAAATTACTTGAAAGACACAACCAGAAGCGACTCGAGTCTAACATTCGTCGAGGACACTTTCACTGAGAACGCCTCCGAGGTTTCTGGATTAACGTTGAAGAAATCACAAAGATCCTCGAGAATCGGTACGCCTCTTCCAGTCTCGAAAAAGGAGCCTATCTGCAATGAAACGTTTGCAGATTTTTCCAACACTGAAATAAAACAATTCCCTAACGAAATATTGAACAGATTCTCGCGATTAAGGGTATGCTGATCTTTCAACATAATGCATAATTTCACCGAGATACTTAGACTTGTAACTTATACTTATACTTATTGGTTTCAGATGCTGTACATGGCAGACAACAACCTGACCGAACTCCCAAGCGAAGTTTTCACGTCTTTGAGATACTTGGAATGGCTGGATCTCAGGAATAATCAACTTTCGTCGTTACCAAACAGTATAGAGTCGCATCAGTGTATCGAAACGCTCCTTCTTCAGGGAAATAAATTCGAGGAATTACCCTTGGAACTTTGTAAGCCTTATTTGGAGTGCGATTGTGTGCTCAAAAATAAAATTGTTCGACTTCCATTTGTTTCAGGTACTCTGGCGAAGTTGAAAACTCTTCAGGTGGCACGGAATCCTCTTGTAACACCGCCGAAAGAGATTGTTGCTCTGGGCTGCAAAGAGATTCTAAAATTTTTGAGAACAAAGTGGAACGATGCGCACCCTGAACGCCGAGTGGAGTTCAAGGAAAGTGAGTGTAGTAGATTACTTACCTTAAACAGAAAGTAGATTTAGTTACATATTTTAGTAGCTCTTGAAACTATAGGAAATGTAAAGGAAGACAGGTACAACTAATCCTATCGGTTATAGTTTAGTACTTTGAGACACGTGTACACTCCACACATTGACAACATTGACACTCCACAAATGGAGTTCAATGAAAGTGAGTGTAGTAGATTACTTACCTTAAACAGAAAGTAGATTAGTAACATATTTTAGTAGCTCTTGAAAATATAGGAGATATAAAGGAAGACAGGTACAACTAATCCTATCAGTTATAGTTTAGTACTTTGAGACACGTGTACACTCCACACATTGACAACATTGGCACTCCACAAATGGAGTTCAAGGAAAGTGAGTGTAGTAGATTACTTACCTTAAACAGAAAGTAGATTAGTTACATATTTTAGTAGCTCTTGAAAATATAGGAAATATAAAGGAAGACAGGTACTCGGCTATAGTTTAATACTTTGAGACACATAAGTAGTTGAAACAATAACTGCATTCAAAATTTAATTTTTATTTTACGTTCTAGGCAAAATCGAGCCCAAACTGTCGACGATTCTATGTTACCAGTCTCCTAAAAGAAGCAGGAAAAGAATCTCGTCGAGCAAGAACACTGTTCGCGATAGGAACGCGTCTACCAGAGACAAACGCAAGTCTTACAAGCCAAGTAACAGGTACTACGATGAGAAATTTGCTTTCTTAATGAACATCGACCAACCCTTTGAAAAGAAATCCACAGTCCTCTGCGATTCCTGCTCGAAAGAAAAGACTTACCCAGAAACCAGTCGAAAGCAAAACAACGCACGCGAGAAAATGAAGTTTACTTGTTCAGGAACAGTGAACTGCCGGAGTAATATTCACGATAAAATCGATAAAACAGATAGTAAGATTTTACGACTGACGGATCCGTCACCGAGAAGTCTCTATGTAAGACGGAACGTAAGGATTCTGAGAACGTATACTAAATCTTTGAAAAAAGAATGCAGAGTTAAATTACCTAGCGATAAGTTCCAACACTTTGTTCCTCTGAAGGGAGAAAACAAGTTGGTAGATAACAATAGGGAATATGAAAGTATAAATAACGTTGAACAAATTTTTGATATAATCACAAATGATGGAAAGAGGTTCAAGTTACATCCGATGAGATTAACTAACTCAGATTGGATATTATTGTGTTTAGAGAATTATTTAGGGACGACAAAGTAGGCCAGTTATTTATGTACATAGTTACATGAACCTTAATGAATTGTAAGAGAAAGGTTGCAATTATAGTGGAAAATAATAGAAATATATCTAATAACCACTATCGTGATTTAGATTTATTTTGAACTCGATAAGTAAAAAGTATGAAATTAAAACAGCTTTTTGCTTTGTATAATTTGCTTAGGTGTGAAAATAAAGGTGCGAATGCATCAGCGGAAAATCGCTTGTTATGGTATTCCAAGATAAGAGAATTATTCGCCAGACAATCATCGATATTACAAAAAGTCAAGTAAGAATTTTCACGTTCCTAATATTTCGCTCGAAACGCAATTATTTGTACCGATTCGATTCATTAGGGACCAAAATGTTATGAAGGAATGGAGGCGAGACAAAAGAAGCTTCAGCACAGCTATGGAGAAGGCGATGAAACGAAACGGAGGTATCATAACGAATTTCGCTATGTATAAATAATAGTATAAATAATAGTTTTCATTCGATAGATGATATTCCCTTCGGTTTCGATCCGGAAGATTACGCTTCTATATTCAAGCGAAGATCTAAATCGGTGAGAATTATTTCTCAATTCTTTTCACGAAAATTAAATCTTTGCAAAGATTAAACGCTATTTGAATTTTAGGAAAATCTACGCTTAGGAAAACGAGGGAAAAAGAAATATGATCCACCAAAGTGAGTGAAGAATTTTTTAACGATTAGTGTATAAGATTAGTACTTAAAAAAAAAAAAAACACCCAAATTGGAACATTCGTTTTTCGTAGAAATATTAACAAAACGATAAAAGATCTGTCGGAATCTCTGGATCGGCTCGAAATAAAAACCATGGATGAAATAACGCCGAGAACAAAACAAAGCTTGCTGGAGAATGAAATAAAAAAGGTGCTCGATACAATAATTTTAGTGAATATAAAATAGTCGTTACAGTAAGAAAGTACGTTTTACAAATCGTATCGAGTAACGCGTTTTCGTGATGTTCCAGATATTACAATTCCAAGCTGAAATTGAAAATTTGCGAAAATACAATGACGTTGCAACGGTGCCTCGCGAGAATTGAATTGCAGTACAATAATTCTCTTATCGTTTCGATTTCGACTACGCCAAAAAGTATCAGTCTTGACATGTTTATTTAAATAAATCAGTAGTAATCACATATCGTTCCATAGTGTTTCAACTACACATACATTACTTACAAATACACGACGAGATAACTGGAAATATAATTGTGCATTGTAAGGTTTCAGACATTTGAATAACATCGAAAGAAAGGTATATATGTATAGAAAGTTTATCACTTTACAAAAATGATATCCATAAAACGATTTATATTAACTCTCTATAACCCAAATTATACGTGGTTTCTGACAATAAAATTCTATTCTGTATTCGTTTAACGATGATTACAACTTAAATTATAAAATTAAATTATATTTCGGTAGACTTTGAGAAAGTAGATAACGAATGTCTTTTGAGAGACTGGGTTATAGAGAATGAATTGGACTTGTAAAAATGTATCGACGTACTTTCTGTGAATAAAACGTTGTAAACAAATAATCTTTCGAGGAATGAATTATAAATTAATAAATCTGAAAAAGGACGGAAAATATCAAGAAGAATGCTTTCCAGTCTTCCCGTCAACTTTTCTACTCGTTTGATCGCCGTAAAAGCCAGAGTACAAAAATCCTAGAAAGTGATGATTCGAATGAAAATAGATTCGAACAACACGGATGGCTTTCACGACGATCGAACCTCACCGTTCTGTACATGGCACTACATCAAATCCTAGTACAATTCTATCTCGTTCAGAATCAAAGAATCACGCCTAGGTCCGCGGCACGTCTGTTTTTTTTTTTAATAGTACTGCTAATAGGTATAAGGCAAATCTCCAAGATCTCCATTTTAACCCTTTGCAATCGGATGTAAGTTTGGTGAACTCTATTCACGATTGTACAGGATTAAAATTGTTCGAAAATACACGGTTTCTCAAAACTTGAAGGAAAAAAGAAGGGAAGAAAGAGGATGTATGGAGACTGGTAACGGAAACGTATGGCTCAGAGTGCAAAGGGTTAATTTCTTCTTCCATATTTACGTGTGGGCGTGTTCTCTTCTTTTCAGCTCTGCATGTTTGGTACACAGACGCATAAAATATAATACGGATAACTAATTCGTTAGTAACGAACGTAACGATCTAATTGCAATTAATTCCTGACTGATTTATCATTCATCGTGTCTTCAGGGCATTGATGATTTTCCATGCATTTATGCTTAACTTATCGATGGTGGTAATAAACTTATCAACATTGAAACAAACAGTCTCATACAAAAACTCATGTTATTCAGGTTACAAATAATTAACTGCTGTTACATTAGCGTACTAATCTGCTAGCGAAATAATGAATACTTTCTACGCGATTCTATGTATCACATGATATGGGCAATATGTACACGAGCGTATATGTATCGTAAGCATTAGAGCCAATTAGATGTCGCTAGTAATACCGATATTTGATTTGACATGATCAAGAACAATAATGTTAGGACGTCACGTTAAACATAAAAAAAAGGCCTCGTTGTAGGCGTATCAAGGAGCAACGGTAGGTTTGCGGCGAAAATGTTGCTATGGGGCGGTAAAATACCTATAGGATTAGGTAGCTTTCTCGGAAACACAGACCCGGAAGTTAAAACTAGACCTAGTTCGGCGCATTCTTGTGGCGTTAGTATCCGATAAGAAAATATCCTTTCAACGGGTTAAAAAGCTTCGACAATTTATCATTTAAACACGCATACCGACATCTTCTTCACCGTACCAGCATTCAACACATTATGTACATTTGCTTTCAAGAAAACTTCCTATTAATGTACAAGCATACCGGATATACTGATGTCCCATAGCGTTAGAACACACAAATGTAAATTTATAAAATAAACAGATTCCTCTCCTCCATTCTGTGACGATTCATTCCATTAATGTTTACTATTGCACATTTTATACTTTCTCACACTTTCTCTCTTTCGCTTTACTCAACGTCTCTGCCATTTAGTTTATACCGTATATACACCGTATGCACGCATATATCGTTAAACATATTCGGGTGATTTTATAATTTAAGAAGGCAGACATTCTGGGAGAATTCTCAGAAAGCAAGTACAAATCATCAATGTAAAACCTGCCTACGTTATCTATCGCCATCTCGCGGAAGGTATAAATTTTATCGATAAATAAGCTTCCGTACGTCGTACAGAAACACGTAACAGACAGATACGTTCTCGGATTCTTTTAGAAATAAATAATTTCCACCCGTACGCTTCTAAGTCGCGGAAGCTTTCTTCGACGATGGTCCGAGTAAGTATACTTTATTCACAAATATCACTGGTGTACTCACTCTTTGTTAGAAGCTTCTACACATAGTCTTGATCCCTGGGTGCTCCTCGAACGCAGGATTCAGGTCCACGAAGCCTAGTTTGCTGTAAAATTCTTGCGATTCCTTCTCCGTGGACGGCATCGTAGTGTGTACACCGAAGGAACCTGAAAACATCGTTGGAAATTCGATTGAACGCCAACTCTAAGACGATATCGTGACTTTTTCTATAAAATTATTTACCGTTAGCTCTCAACGCAGCCAGGATGCAGGTAATCAGTCTTTTAGGGACAGACTGATCCGTCACGCTCGGTAACACTGCACAGAAAAGTATCGACGAATATTGCCTGCACAAATGCTCGGACACGTCTGGCACAAATGAGTGGAAATACTGTATCGCGTCCTGTAAACCAAGTAGAGATTAAACAGATTAAAAAGTCGCTCGATTAGAGTATCTTACTTGCTGCTGTACTAATACATACCTGAACATTTTGTGGTAAATCGTTCATATTGTCATTCAATGGGTACTTCATGCGCAATTCGGGAATTACAGAAACAGCCATTTTTTTATTGAAAGTCTTTACGTCCAATGCAGCCAAGGCGTAACCCACTATACCACTTTCATCTTCGACAACCATACACATTTCTGGACTCAAAGTTAAGAAACCTCCAAGAAGCCTAGAATGAGAATTAAATGTCGATTTGTATAGAGTACGTTGTATTTATACAAAAATATTGAATATAATATTTCTCCTACCTATCCGCCACCGCAGACGGCATCGTGCAGCCGCAGATTTTATTGCACACGGCGTAAACCGTTTCTTCATCGGTTGCTAAGTAAGGTCTAATCGTGTAGATTTTACTACTAGGCACTTCTGGTGCTTTGTAAATGAACAAATCATTACCACTATCCACTGGGATTAATCTCTGCGAAACGTAATCGGGTATTAATATTTTTCAGATATTCCACGACATCCAAAGGCATTAAATATCAATGCACCTGTAGATCAGCTGTAAGTCCTCCACGGAACACCCAAGGTTCTTGATCCCCACTCATAAACGTTTCTTTCCAGCCATTCGAGAACCCTACCCCAAGACACAGTATATTTAGCCTTAATAAAGAATACGCGCAATAATGCAGTTTATGAAATTTATGAAACGGCCTCCACTGCTCTGAGCACTAATTTTGCTTAAATTTCTATCATGCAGTACACTTCGATCGATGACCCCTTAGCTTTCTTTATTTCGCTCGCTCTAACAAGTGTGACACTCAACGAATTCGAAAGATACGCGCGTGTGTGGCGAAATAAAGAAATTCATCGGATCGAAAAACTACGGTGCATCATTTTATCGAATGCCAAAAATTATATTCCACTGTTTCAAGTAAATTACTTGTGCGTCGAGTAATTTTCAAATAAAAAGAACTAAAATCGTGTAATACTGTGAAAATGCGAACGCGAAATATCAGTGTTAAATCGATCTGAAATCGTTTGGCAAAAGCTTCATCTAACGGAAACTGATATCAATGAATGTTGCACCAAAGTTCGCGCAGCGATAAATCTCTGAGATGATGGAAAGGGACGTGGAATTGGTGGGATGGTAATCCAGTTTGCCAAAATGCGCCTGAAATTAAACTCCTATCACTCCTGAAAAGAACATAGATTCTGGAACTAAAAGAAATTAGTACAGGCAAGTTGGCAAAAGGAGGATGTTTACTGGTCGTCCACAACTCGCGAAAGATGCTTTGTCAAAAATAATAGCGTGACTTATTCAAAAACATTGCTCATCGTTGCAAATAATAAACGCCATCGCGAACGTCAGAAAATAATGATAAAAAAGAAAAAAGCGCACTGGGCACTTTTGCTGATTGCGTGCCGACCAGTACAATACTCGGGAGAAACTCTAAACAGTTTATAAGATTGTGTCCTAACTTTGCCAATTTTGTAAATGTCGATGGACCTACTTTGTATGCAAAAATTGTGACTATTGCGAAGAGTCAAACGATACAGTTTTGTAAAGAACGTAAGTTTTAGTATAGAAACTTGTCTATACGTCTCGTTAGAATTTTTGCAAGATAAGTATGTCCATCTTGTGTCAAACTATATTATGTTTAAGAGGTATTTGTGTTGGGTACGCATAAATCCTTCAAGGCATCGGAACGCTGCTTCTACGCGCAAATCTCTTGCTTGGATTAATTATAATAATAGTTGTTTACAAAGCTTCAAACGCAAACCGATAGCACGCGACTGTGTTCGCTGGTTTGAAGCTTTGCTGGTCGCGCGCTTTTTGTTGGATTACTCAGACTGGTGAATTGCATACATGTGTAGCTGCCCTGGGTAAACATTGTCATCATCGACGAGAATCTGCCAAACGCTATAAACAAGACAAAAAACACAGAAATGCACGTTAGTCAGTGAATTGAAGCTGTACTGTTCCTCATACACTTACACTGCTGGCAGAATCTATTCGCTGCAAGAATTAGCTGCTTTACTCGTTAGTTTCTTTTTTCAGTACTACCGTACGCGGAATGCTATTACGTGATTTCAATGCAACGAATACATTTCTGCCGAACAATCTGTGAAAGAAAGTCAGCCAATATGTTAATAGCTGGCACAAGGTTATTTAAAACACAGTATTTGTTCGGGTCCACATTGATGCTGTTAAATAGTTTCCCAAGAATGTCTTTGCTAGGGAAAATTGTTTCGCCAAATATCGCGCCAGAAAGTCACGTCAATTCTCTTCGTTATTTTAATATGTACATGCAGTTTCTCCGTAATCAAATGTGGTAGATACTAGGAGAAGTTGAGAAGTGCCGTGACTTGCTTTGTTTACCAACAGAATAATAAATAGGAAGCCGTCAGTCTACAAATAAGAAAATCATTTCACAAAAAGGTTTGTATGTAGTCGAACATAAAAAGCCTCATCGATTGGTTTTCAGTGTTGAATGAGTTATCAAGTTTCTGTTTCAGTTTTGTAGAAAGTATCATGTATTCTGCAGTTGTACAATAGTATCTACCGGAGATATATATGTATCGAAAGAATGAGAAACAGTAAGATTAACTTATGGTTTTAACTCATTCTGATTTTGACTTACGGCAACCCGTTGTTCGTTCGTTTCGCGCGCTGCGCGGTACATTTGATTCTAAAGCGCAGAAACAAATGTACAAATGCGATTCCATAGATATGCGATCCATGAAATATTTTACTTCCAACTATTACTGATATCTGTTCACTTCCTGATCGTTTAGAAAATACGAAAATTTCCGTAACAAAAATAATAGAATCATCAGGCTTTTTCAACCGATGTCACAATCGAATTTGTGTATTTTTACTTTAACTTAATTGTTGTGCTGCATTACAATTTACCGTTTCATGAAAAATGATTACTTTGGAAATAATATTTGCAAAGTACTTAACCCTCGGTAACGGAGACAAAATATACTTTCATTTTCCGATAATCGCATTTGTAAAGAGTAAATATAGCGAACAACAAGTCCAATTTGTGTGAAAATAAGTTAACAAAATGTCAGTAATTTTCGGAATCGATAGTTTATGTTTCTTGCGTGTATCATGATTGTATAAATGATGTCATTTTACAAGGAAGCATAGAATGATATTTAATGTACATCAATCGAGTATGTTAACCAAACAATTTACGATAGGCATAGAGGGATGTTTCGAATAAACAATACAATGGTACAAAGATACTTCTAATTTTTAAAAATAAATTTAGATATAAAAATGCACTTTCTTCGATAAAACATATACATTTCATATAAAAGCATATCTTCCTTGTAAGAGG